TCTTTTTGGATTATATGTCTAATGAAATGCATCCTAACATCTATGTGTTAAGTCTTTTCATGAAAAACTGGATTTTTACACAAATGAATGGTACTTTGAATATCAGAATAAATAACAACAGGATTATGCAATTCATTTAATTCACTGAACAAGCCTTTATGCCATAAAGACTCTTTAATAGCTTCGGTAGCAGCCACATATTCAACTTCAGTGGTAGATAAGGCCAAAATAAAATGCAGTTGAGACTTCCAACTTATGCAAGTATCACACAAAGTAAATATATATGCAGTTACATATTTCCACTTATACTTATTACGTGCATAATAAGAATCCACATATCATCTTAACACAACTCTCTCTTTACAAAATTTAAAATGCAATCTTAAATCAACAGAACATTTGAAGTATCTTAAAAGTCATTTTAAAACAGTATAATGTTGAGGACCTGGATTTGCCATAAATCTCAAAATGCTAATAGCATGTTCAACATCATGTCTAATACACACCATAGTATATATAACATATCTAACATCATAGCATAAGACACTTTTTGCATGTGTTTGATATCAGGTTCATCATGAGGATATTGATTTTTACTCAATTTAAAATAACAAGAGGCAAAGTAACAGACTTGGAATTATGCATGGAAAACTTGGATAACACATTTTTCACATAGTCAGACTATGTTAAAAGAAGAAATTGTTGTAATCCATTTATTTTAATATCCATTCATAGAATTTTTCTAGCATGACCTAAGTTTTTCATTTCAAATTCAACACTTAAAACCTTTTTAATATCATTTATATCACTCATATTATGTCAAATCAACAACATATCATCCACATACAAAAGAAGATAAACAATCATAGAATTATTAGCATTTCTTTTAAAATAAAGACAATGATCAACGGCACTTCGCACAAAGCCAATAGAAGACACATAATTGTCAAATCTAATATACCATTGCCTAGGTGATTGTTTCAAACATTACTCAAAGCCTTTTTTGATATCATTTATATCACTCATTTTATGTCCAACCAATAGCATATCATCAACATACAAAAGCAAGTAAACAATCACATCATTCTTATCATTGCTTTTAAAATAAAGACAATGATCAAAAGCACTTCTTATAAAGTCAATAGATGACACAAAATTGTCAAATCTCTTATATCATTGTCTATGTGATTATTTTAAAACCATACAATGACTTGTTTAAAAGACAAACATGATTAGGTCTTTTTAAATCAATGAAACCATGTGGCTAGATCATTCAAATTGTTTCATCTAAGTCAACATGAAAGAAAGCAGTGTAACATTCATTTGTTCAAGTTCTAAATCATATTGAACAATTAAAGTAAGTATGACTCTTATAGTAGTATATTTAATAACAGGAGAGAAGATTTCATTGTAATCAATACCAGGTTTTTGGGTAAACCCCTTTGTAACTAATCTAGCTTTAAACCTAAGAGGTTGTTTAAAAATATTTCAATCCTTAATGCTATAAACCCACTTACAGTCTACTAAAGACTTATTCTCAGGTTTTGGAACAAGCTTCCAAGTATTATTTTTCAATGGGGACTTCATTTCTTCTTTCATAGCTCTCAATCACTCATCAATCGTTGACAACTTAACGCCTCTTCATAAGATTTAAACTCTTTAGAAGCTAAATCTTGAAATGACAAACAGCAAATGATTGATAGTCACTCATCCTAACAGGTTTCTTATCTCCCTCCTAATTATATCCCTAGCTAGTTGATAATCACTCAAATGATCATCTAATTCACCTATAGAGTCATGTCCACTGCCTTCAATAGGTTCCTGTGAAATATCATCACTCTCTTCACCAACTTCATTCTCAATTTGTTCCTCATCAACAAGTTCATGAGAGTTATCTAACTTTACCTGCATTTTAGTTTCTTCCTCTTTTCCACTCTCATGGCATCTCTTAAGACTTTCTTACTTAAACAAGGCATATCAGCTTCATTAAATGTCACATTCCTACTGGTTATCATCTTAAATCTCTTCTCTTCTCTAGCCCAAAGTCTATATCCCTTCACTCCTTTAGGATATCCCATGAAAACACAATTCTGGGACCTAGGCTCCAATTTGCCTAAACTTCGGTGAGAATAGGCAGCACACCTAAAAGTTCTCAAGATAGTATAATCAGATAATTTCCCTGACCATACTTCCTCAGGTATCTTTTCATCTAAAGTACTAGTAGGAGTCTTACTCACAATATACACAGATGCCATAACAGCTTTACCCCAAAGGACTTTAGGAACTTCTGAACTAATCATCATCCATCTAACCTTATCTAAAATAGTCATATTCATCATCTCAGCAACACCAGTTTGCTAAGGGATATAATGAACAGTTTTATGCCTGAGAATCCTATGATCTTTACAAAGTTAATTAAATTCAGTATTACAAAATTTCAAACCATTGTCTGTCCTCGAAATTTTGATCTTTTTATCCACTTGATTTTTAATTAAAGTTTTCTAAGTTTTAAACTTTTCAAAAGTGTCCGATTTTTGTTTCAAAAGATAAATTCAAACTTTTCTTGAAAAATCATCAATCAGTGATAAAAAAAAATCTATTTCCACCTTGAGTGGTAGTAAATGATGGGTCCCCCAAATTAGAATGAATATATTCAAGGATAAATGTAGTTTTGTGCTTTCCAGTATTAAAATGAAGCATATGCTGCTTACCTAAGATGCAGTGCTCACAGAAAGAAATCTTAGAAATAATATCATTACCAAATGTCCCCTTTTTCTTCAATATGTGCAGGCCTTTTTCACTAACAAGTGCTAGTCTGTTATGCCATTTCAGCGTGGCAATACTCTCAGCACTGGATGACTCAGAAGTGTGACTCAAAACAACACTGGCTCTAGTGACATATATACCATTTATTTTGGTATCTTTGAAAATAACTAAGGAATCTTTAATTACTTTAAAGAACCATTTTCAATCGTGTCCTACAGGCCTATGTCATTTAGATCACCCATTGAAATTAAATTTCTATTCAAATCAGGGACATACTTTACCCTTTCTAGAATAAATGTATATCAATTTTCAAATTTCAAAGTCACACTACCAATTCTCTTAATTCTACAGGCATCATTGTTGCCCATAACCACCTCTCCACCATTAAGATGCTTATAGTGTTCTAACCAAGGTCTTCTAGATGTCATTAGAAAAGTACACCCCGAATCCAACTATATTGATCACTGTTATTTGTATAGTTTGCAGTATTCAGATCACTAATGGATTCTGTCACCATATAAACGTCTATAGTTCTATCATTTAAGGGTTCAACTACATTCCCCCATCAACTGTCATATTTCTCTGTTCATTCTTTTTCTTATAACAGTCTTTTATAAAGTGTCCAGTCTTTCCACACCCATAACACTTCCTATTTCCACTTCTAGATTTTGATCTAAACCTCCATTTTTCATTTTTCTCAGAAGTATTATTCCCTTGATTTTGACAATTTCCTTGCCTAAAAATAGACCTCCCTCTAATAAATAAACTCTCATATTCATTCCTTGTTCATCAGCCTTAAGTTCTAATTCCTTACTTCTTAAATAATTTATCATTATTTCAAGAAGAGATGACAGAAATAATTGGTAGAGCTTTTTAGCGCTTCTAACCCTTCGGGAGAGCCGTTGAAATTGTACAGTGAAACTCCGTTTGAATTTATTCATCTCAACCTTCAACTCATGCAAGTAATAGATTATGTCTAGCTTAATTCCTCTTACTTCTAGATACACAAGATAATTCTCTTGCAGAGTTGCTATCATGTCACTGAAAACCAGAGCACCAAATTGTATATTACTATGACAGAATCGCATATATAGTCTCCCACCCACATTGGGTAGGATAAAAACTTACAACTGCTGATATGGCAAGAGAACTGTAACGCCCCAAAAATTCAAGACTTCTAGATACACAAGATAATTCTCGTGCAGAGTTGCTATCATGTCACTGAAAACCAGAGCACCAAATTGTATATTACTATGACAGAATCGCATATATAGTCTCCCACCCACATTGGGTAGGATACAAACTTACAACTGCTGATATGGCAAGAGAACCTTACTTACGATTCTCTGCAATGATCATACATTTAAAGAACCAGGTTACCTGTCATATCAGCAATTGGAAGTTTTTATCCCAAAAAGATCAAATCTAAACAGAATCAGAGAAATCAATAATCATAATAATTTGGGCACAAGAAGCTTACTTATCTTTTTGATTGAAAGGCATGAAAAAGTTTTTAGCGTTCCAAAGAGATCTTGTCATTATAGGCAGTACACCTTAACTTAAAAGACAATCCTTTCCCAATATCATATGTGAATTTAGCAACAAAAGGTATACTAAATTGGTTTTTGTCTTTTGGGAACTCATTATAGTAAGTATAAATCTTTTCCCTAGGAAAAAGAAAACTACGGACCTCTTGCTCTTTATCTTCATCATCGTCCTCCTCAAAGAAAACTACATCAGGCACGAGAATTTCAACATTCAAGATTTCATCTTTGAATTTATTAGTTAGTAGTAAAGTCTGCGGGTTGGAACGTTCTTCAATCGTAAAGTGGAAGTGCCTTGGAATCACCACTCCAAACTATGAAACAGATGAAATAATAATGCTAAAAATCACCTTCCCAAACTATGTAACAAAAAAAATCAATAATGCTACCAAGCAGAAAGTTAAAATTGAACCTTCTCCTCATCCTCTTGCGACTCCATGCCTCGCATAAATAACTCTTTGAAGCTCAACTTGGTGGAGTAGTAATCGAGAGATGAAGGAAACAACATGTGGAAGAGCTTCCCAGAGGGCCGGAACGGTTGACGGAGTGGGTTAAATGGTGACTGCTGAAGGTAGACCGGATGGTCAAAGTTACAACCATTGAAGATGTTGTTGTATCAAATCAAAAACTAGAAAAGTAGAAAAATTAAAACTTTGGGTTCACGAAATTTCAAAAATAAAATAATTAATCGTTCCCCAACAATGGAAAATCCATTCCAGTGTGATAAAACTTACAGAATTCCAGTCATCATCTTTGAGAAACCGTTGATAAATGATGAGAAAATATTAGAATACTCTTAAAGGATAAACATACATTAATTCAAACGTGAAAAATCACCTTCCTCTATGCCAATACAGATTGAACGAGAGTGGAAGAGATTTAGGGTTTTAATGTCAGTGGGTTAATGGGTTTCTAGGGCAAACGTATAAATTGTGGTAAAGATTTTGCCGGGCCCAAATCCTAGCAATTATTTGTTCATTGTCTCATTTCAATAAGAAGAAATTACACCCAGCCCTTCTTTTAACTTACCATTTTCTTTATTCCAGATTTAACTTTGATTTTCTACTAATCAGGTTTTGAGGAATTAAATTGAGAATTTTTTATTCATAATAACCAGCCCATTTTTTACGTGGAAATTGGAGAGAGAATTTTAAATAAGTAAATTATATCTTTTATAACCGTCTAGAACCGCTAAACTCCTTAATATTCGCACCTTCTTAAAACCACGGAATTGGTTCTTCCCCAAACCATTTCATTCTCTTCATTTTCAATCAAAACAAAAACCCAAAATCGATTCTTGCCTACATTGCTCACAGGTACAAGTACGAAGACAGTGATACTGTAAAGTGTGTTCAAAGAAGTGGAGGAGGTGACTGAGACTTGGGTTGCGTTTCTACGAACGGTGTATAGGATAAATGGCGTTAACGTGAAGTTGTGACCGAACGGCACGTTCCGACGCTGGTGAACCCTCTGGAACTGCACGTCATAGTAGGGGAAGGGCGAATGTGGCGAAGGAGTGCTGTGAAAAGAAATCGAACATCCCCAGTAAATCGCATCCGAACTTGGAGAAGAGGGCTCACAAGGATAACCTTAGAACTCCTGTAAATCCTCGAAGATCGAATCCTACTAAGGTAAGGTTTTTTGGCAATTTCTTAACATTTGTTGTTGATTGTGACCTAGATTCTTATGTATTGTGACCCAAAAGTTCATTTGTGATAAAATAGTCCTAACCAGATCACAATTCTTCTTCTAATGTGACATATATATTTTCTGATGAACATTGGGTCACAATCAGTTGATGTGCATAGTTGTTGATGTATGATATCGTTTGTTTTCATGTATTGTGGCCTAGGAATGGAAATATATTATACCAGAAAATTCATGGTTTCCCGGGAAGATTACAACAAATGTGGTAAAAAAAACGTGTTGACAAATTTCACTTCTAAGTTCAATGCGGTCCAAAGGTCGATTCTGGTAGAAACTTACTTCTCTCATTTCGTGGAATGTAATGAAATTATTCTACAGCCACAGCTTATGCACTATTTTTTTATGAGAGAAGTGTTGCAACCTAATCCAAATGAGATATGGTTCAAAGTTGGTAATAAATTTTTAAGATTTTTGATGTGCGAATTTTTTTAGTCACAGGGCTTAGATGTAGTGGTGATGATTTTAGGAAAGCTATTAATAACGTTCCATCTAGGATAAAGGTAACATATTTTGGGCACTTGAAGTTGGTGACAAATGAGGATGTGAGGGATGTGTTTATGAATGTGCCCGATGTAGACGATCGTGATGTTGTGAGGATTGTGATTTTATATTTGATTATGTCATATTTGTGTTCAACATCTTACAAAAGGGTGGTTGAAAATTTTTTGTTTGCGTTGGTTGAGGACTTTGATCTTATAGAGTTGTTTCCTTTTGAGGAGGACTTATTTCAAATGTCTCTAAAATATTTGAAAGAGGGGTTAAGTCACAGGAATCCACATTATAAGTTGAAGAGGTTCTTGGTTACATTTCAAGTGTGGATATATGAGTGTATTCCTGGACTAACTGGCCCTGTGACGAGTAGGATGGGTAACAGTTATCCCCATATTGTGAATTGGATGTCGGATAAATAGACGTCTGCTGTTAAGTTGGAAAAAGATGTCTTCTCCACTCATGATGTAAGTTTTTATTTTATTGCTTTTTTACATATGTCACAAGGTCACAGAATTGCATACATAAGTCCCAAGGCCACATAGTTGTACACATAAGTCACAAGTACCCATATATGTATTCATAGATCACACACTAGTCTCTTTACATGTACTTTGTTCAAAACCATCAAGTCACAATGAACTTGTAGCTTCTGAGTTATACACCACTAACAAATGTTTCATTTGCAATATTTTCACAGCTTGAAACTTGTTTTGTTGTTCCGTCCAACATGGAGTTGGAGGCCCAATATATGAATGGTGTTTCATACACTAAACATATGCAACCACGTGCTCATGGATATCGAAACAACAAAGGCTCAGGCTCAAGGGCTGGCACATCCCATACACAGTTGCTGATGGTTACAGATGGCAGAATGGGACACTCCAGTGATGTTGACGATGATGACGACGAATTTGTGGTTCCTTCTCCCAAAAAATAGAGGACTCCCACTGTGTACATATCCTCTAAAGAAAAGTAGGCAAGTGAACCACAGGTAGCGCAAAGCGAGCCTTACCAAGCTTATGAAAACGTGAACATGATGCCACAGGCAGGTGAAGGTTGTCCGCCGAATGAGCCAACGTCGACACGATGACATGATGCATCTCAAGTAGATGTAAGTTGATTAATGTCCTAGGTTACAAATCATTTGTTATTTTTTAATGTCCTTTTGTAACTAACATGTGCATTTATGAGCAGTTGAAAGAATTGAATGGGAAAATGAATGAGATGCAGTTGAAGAATGAAGAATTAACTTCGGTTCTATATGATGTCAAGTCACAAGTGATGGCACTACAGGTGGATCAAAAACTTAAACTGAACCAAATTATCCGAATGCAAGGGAAAATTAAATGTGACATGATGGATGTAAGGTCCAACATGATGTTTCTGTCGGATTCTGTGACTGGCTTGATTTCGAGTACGATGGACGTCATTTTGGAGAAGTTGAAAGAGAAGAAGTTTGATGGAAAAAGTGGTGATGTTGACGAGCAACCTCAAGAAAAAAGTAAGTAGAATTGTGAAATTTTGAATTGTTAACTAGTATTATCTCCCAGTTTGTCATGTAACATTTCCTACATTCAGGCCACAATACTGGATCCACTTGTGGACAGGAAAGGAAAGGGAAAGATGGAATCTGCTGGAATTGTTGAATGCCAACATTTTCCCCCACCACCGTCGTTTGATTTGGGGATTTCATGTATACCAATCATGTCGGGTTCGGTGAACCTCACCGAAATTTCCAAACCACAGAAGTTCAAGAATGTGTTGATGATGTGATTACTGGTGTGCTTGAGTAGGTTGTTTTTGATGATGTTAATGATGAGGCAATGAAGGAACAAACAAAGGTGATTGTGGTATTGATAAACTTGTTTCAAATTTCAATTAAATTATAAGTCACAGTTCATAGGTTATTTATCTATTTCAATTTCATCCTTTTGCAGATATCACCTCCATCGGCACCGTCATCTGGCTTGCCTGTTAAGCGAGTTCCAAAACCTACTAGACTATTACAATCTCCATATGTCACAAGTGTTGGGAAATAGAGCAAGCAATCAGATGATGTGGTTGTGTTTGAGATCCATGATAAGCCTGTTGATGAGGTTGATGTGGTAGCATTCAAGAACTGATTTAACAGAGGTTACAAACCTCAGAACAAGTACGTAATGCTAGTATTCTGTGAAATGTGATTATGTTCATAGGTGAACTACATCGTAAAATTTAAGTTTTTGTGTCATGTTTTGGTTGTTAGGAAAAATTCAACGACACAAATGATGTCATCCGACCTCCATTCATCATTGGTTCTTTGACTGTGAGCTCAAAAACATGGTGGCATGAGCTTGTTAGTTCAGAATCTTCTCTGAGCAGCACGGTATGTCTTCTATAAAGTTAATGATGTATCCTACGAGTTTGTCACAAGACACATATATACATGGATTAAAAGTTGTACATATATCAGATGTAGAGGTCACAATTTGGAAGACTAATATTGATAAGGACTCAGTTCTGATGAATTCAAATGTCACCATTATGCACAGGTCACAGAGTCATGTCAATAACACTTAAGTCACACGTGTCTTGTTCAATATTATGTAAGAGTTATGAATGATTTCACCATGGTCACATAAACTTTCTGATGAATGTGAATTTAACTTTGATAGCACATGGACGTGTGTTTCTATTTTCTACGGTAATTTGCTTCAAGAAGTGGGCTTGCTAGAGTGAGAGCCACCACGATAAATTCGTTGTTCCAAGCTAAGATCAAGAATTTGTTTGCCCATTTTATGAAAGATCCTAATGTGTTAATGTCAGATTCCTACATTGTTGAAGTTGCCGAGGTGGACGGATAAAGTATAATCGTCCTTGGGCTGATGTGGATTATGTGTTGTTGCCTATTTTGCCACAAATCGTGCCCACTGGATGCTTGGGTGTTTGAACATAAGGAAGCGTGTCCTTTACATATTTCATTCAAGCTACAAGACATATCCGGATAAAATGGTTAATACAGGGATTGAACTATTTGCAAGAATTATCCCCCATTTGATGCATAGTTTGGGTATTTGGGAAAGAATGTCTGATGCTGATGATCTAATTTGGATGACAAACATGGTTACTGATAATATACCACATCAACAGAATGGGTATAGTTGTGACTTAGTTTTCAGTTCTTGACAGTTGCTTTTATTTTCTGATTTGTAACATGTTTTCTTTTTGTTTTTTGAATTGTGTTCAGGCATGATTGTGGCATATTTGTGATTAAATATGCAGAATACATGCTTCACAATGCCATGATGACTATGTCGATGACTTTTGACG